TAACATGCCTGTCTGGCCCAGGCAACGTCATACGGGAGGCCACGTGCTCTAGAAAGCTAGGGATAACGCTCTCGTCACTGGGGCCACCGGGTACTGGGGCTTTAACGATCCAAGCCTCCCCACTCTTAGCCCGTTTGCTACTCGAACCTGCATTTACAATACAACAAATAAGTATAGATATATACACGCCATATTGTGACTGATTGTTTAGTTAATTAAAAGATTTTTTATTTTTTTTTTATAAACTATAAATAACTAATTATTTCATTAACGCTCAAATATAAATGTAGTAGTCATAGATTTTATTTAACAATTATACTAATAAATTAAGAACAAAATATAGTAGTGAGTGATTTTATTTTTAATTATACTAATAAAAAATATAATTTTATATGAATAGTAATTTTTTTAGGAAAATCATATCCTATTTTAGATTTGATAGGTAAAAATAAAATCACCTTGTTAGATGAAATGAAAATAAATTTTAAGTTATATTATATGTGTGCATTAAAGTATTGTAAGTTAGGAATAAATTTTTTACTATTTACCAACGGAATAAATCATTTTCTGTTCCTCAGACAACACAATAATTATTTTAAATTTAATTAAATATTATTAAATTAATTACATAACTAAATAATATTACTAAATAAAAATTTATGTAACTGACAAAATAGACAACTAGACAATTACATGTTAGATATATACACGACATATTGTGACTAACTATATCAATTATATGCTATTAGTAAATAAAAGTATATGTAAGTAACAATAATAAATTAAAGTACGTAGAATATTTACCAGAGGAGGATTCAGTACCCGCAAAACGGCCCCCAGCCTGTCGTGGAGGAGCAGGTCGTACCGGTCGTACAGGGGAAGGAGAAAGTGACGCGGTCTGCTCATCTCCAGAGTCAGGCTCATCACCCTTATCATCGTCCTGGTCATCGTCCTGCTGATAATAATGGACCGGACTCTCGACGATCGGAGCCGACGACTGACGAATACGTATCCTCGTCGGCATACTGCCAGCCATCGATGAGCTGGGCTGCCCACCGCTCTACTGACCACTCGGTTCTGAAGGAACGATCGGTGGCAATCTCCTAGCCATCTCAGCCTGAGCTAACTTAGCCTC